CAGTTTGAGGTCATGTGTACCTAGCAACTTCCACATAACAACACAGCACTAGAGAAACAGACTCCTCTGTATCATYGCCTAGAGATGGTGTGAGATGTACTTGACTTCCTTGAAAGACGCTAGAGGATTATTGAAACAGTTTGCTCGTCATAGACATTGATCGTCAAGATTGCACTGTGATTTCATTACAAGCCATGGAGCATGCGCTGCATTTCCAGTCCCCCATCGCTTAGTAAAAACATACAGCATCAAAGCATGTCATTGCCAAATGGTCATTTGTTGCAGATTTGGTGGTTCACAGGGCAGTAATATTACAAGCCCATCAAGGCTTGTGTGTTGACATCAACAGTTGGCTCTTATCTCATTCTCCTCCTCTGCTGAGTCGTTTTGAGCCCTGGGCCTCTCTCCCACGCCATGACCCAGCCTGCCAGGTACACAGCTGGTTGCCTGATCTCTGGTTCTCCTGCAGCTGTCTCTGGCACTGGGGTCCTGGAGCAGGAAGAACTCTGCACGCCTGTGTTGCCGTTTGTGCCGTGTTTTTCCAGAGATGTGTTGCTATGTGTCAAGTTGCTAACTGTGTGGGCAAATCCTATTCATGCAGCCTTAAGGAAKCAACCCGGGACTCTCGGGCAAGAAGAGGACTGAAAAGTCAAAGGGATTTTCTCCTTCTTTCTTAAAATTAGCTCATTGGCTATGGGGAATTGTGTGCACAGCAGAAGCGTACCTAAAGCAAATATCCCAGATACAGGTGAGCACCAGCCCCGTTGACACTGTGCGCCTATGCTCTCCATCCCGTGACCTAGCACGTCTCTCCCTTGTGCTCAGAGTGAGGAAATCTTAGAAGTCTGTGGTATTTGGCAAAAGGTCTTGTGGTAAAGATGGAGCCAGAGGGGCTCCAGTTTACCTCAAACCCTATAAACATAGGTGTTTATAGCATTTAAATTACTTGAAATGATAGTTAATTGTCCGAGCACAGTATGTGTAACAAGACAGAGAGCAAAGTTTTCCTGGGAGGAGTTTGCACATGTTTTCAATTAGCAGTCAGACAGCAGCCAGGGCAGAGGAAAAGGCATGAGAACAGCGTTTCTCCATGACCTCACTAAGAGATTTCCCAGCTCTGCTGCAGGAATGAACATGTGGGAGAAAGTGTAACAGGCTCCTGCTACTAGTTGTTTTATTTGTGTCTTTGCTTTTAGAATCARCTATCAGAATAAGGGTACCTGGAGTCTACCACTTCCAATGGAAGGACAGGAAAGGCTTTAGCAACCATCATACCTGCCGTACAAACCCTATGCTTGTGGCCAGTGCACTCGGAATGGATCCAACTTGTTGTGTTGTCATTTCAGGATTAATGAACTGCGGAAGTGACGGGCTGTTTATCTGCAGTCAGCCGGCACGTGTGTCCCAGCTGTTTGTCAAGTGCTGCAGTGTCAGGAGATCCTACACGTGCCTCRTGTTTTTTTTCTTCTTCTTTTTTATTTTTTTTCCCCACCTCATTAAAGCTCCTGTAAGAAGACAGAAGAAGAAGACAGACAGATGGCAGAGACACCCCCATGAAGGGTAGTGCCCTTCATGAGTACGTGCAAGCTGTTAGAAAGTATGGGTATAGACATGGAAAATTTGGGTGCAATTCTAGTGCCCGAGCGAGAAAGGACTTTGAAGCAGGCGTCCTAGCCTGCAGTGTTGCTTCTCCTGCTAAGACTAGAGTGTTCTGAGGTGAGATATTTGGTAATACTAGTTTGAGGTATTCCCTGTTGCTCAACTAATTATGCTGGCAAAACAGAGGGAGTGACGTGTTGTGGTGCGCGAGGGGAAAYGAGCGGCGCGGGCGGCTGAGAGCACCTGAACCCACAACGGCCGCCGGAGACTTCACTTTGTGAGACCACAGTGTTACTCGAGCCTGTCTGCGTTGTGGCTGATAACAGCAAGGGGTTGCAAGAGCTGAAAGGGAGGGCAGTGCGGGGCGAGGGCCGCYGCTGCGCCTGGGTGGGCAGCGCAGGCAGGTGCGGCCTGAGCCTGGGTTGGGCCTGGGCCGGGCCTGGGCTGTGAGTGATCCCGTGAGTGCCTGGGTTGTAGCCTGTGACTAACGGGAAGCCACGAGGGCATCTGTTAGCTGTCAGAGACGCTTAAATGACGATAAATAAGGGCTTCACAAACTTTGTAGCTCTTGTGGAAGAAATTACAGGGTTTACATATATACATATACATACATACATAAATACATATATATATATATAACCAATCAAGTGGTTTCCATCTATGTGGATTGTTAGAGTTTGAAGAGGAAAGCTTTAACCCAATCAAACTGAATTCCCTGTGACTAACAGTGTAAGGTCATCATCTTTTTACAACCCAAAGCTGTGCTTCTGTAATCATGAAACACGTACATGGGAATTTGTCCAGGCAGTTATATCATTTACTCTTCCTACACTGTCTGCTTTTTTTTTTTTTTTTCTTTTTGTCCTTATATTACTAGAAGTTTTTAATATGTCAGATGTTACATGTTTTCTGTGCCAGTTTCCAAAAAGGAGTGAGGGTTTGCGTGGCTAGTTCTTTTCCGAGATCTAGGAAGAGCAATATAGAGGAGGGGAAATTCCTGGTTAATAAAAGAAGCTGTAAAACCTCCTACTGGGTGATCTGTGGAAGTGTCACACACTCATGGTCTGGTCTGGCTTTCTCTGGCTAAAATATAGAAAGGATGTAGAAAGGATATAGAAAGGATGGAGCTGCAGATTCTTTCCTTGATTACTAATGAGAGAAAACCTTAGTTGCCTGGCAATTTTTCCATAGTATGAATGCTCTTTTTTGAGGAGATGAGGGCTTTTTCTTGGCCTCTTTCTTTGCTGCTCTAAATTTATTTGTTTGGTTGAAAGTACCCCTCCTCCTTGCAAAACACTAGTTTCAACAACACATATTAATTTGGGAGTCTGAGGTCCRGGGTGGATTTGAGAGAAAACAGTTTATGGCCAAATTCCTGGTAGGTCAGTAGTGAGGGTGTTTGTCTGGAGCACGGGACATGGTCCAGTAGTTTCTGGCCCAAATATTTCAGGATTTGTGCGGCAGGAGAAGCAGGGGCACCCTGCAGTAGCCGGCACCGTGGTGGTTAGCTCAGATGTCTCTGGTGTGGGCTGCAGCAGAGCAACAGCGTGTCCCTAACATCATAGGTGGGAGCCTGAACTGTGAGGAATTTGGCAGCTTTTTTTTTTTTCTGGGAAGATGAAAACACTTTGCAGAGAGATTTGAAGTTCATTCTGATGTGGGAAGGGAACATATTTGCGGAGGGGTGAAGCAGTCCCACCTAGGCCACCTCACACTCACACCCAGTCGTTAGGAAGATGAAGGGCACCACGCTGTGATTCAGGCCTGTAATGCCAAGGCAAAACCCAGCTAGTACAGCCTGCATTAGTTGGCTCATACGATTTCAGAGAATTTTGTTGCAAAGTCACTCAACTATAGTACACACCAGGCAAAAAAAATGACACCCTGCTGCATTGCATAAATGCCTGTGTGAGTGCCCTTGTCTCCTGCCAGGAAAGCAGTATGAGAGGAAGAAATGGTAGCAAAGCCAGCCGAAGAAGGCAAAATGCAGGACTCTTAGAAAAGCCTGCACAGCAAGGCTATTTTTGTGTGGGACACCACAAAATAAACCTGGTTGCTCTGGAGACAATCTCTGCTTTTATTTGAAGCCATAATCAGAGTTAAAGCCGACAGCTTAGACKTCGCACCTTTGTCTGGAAAGTTTGTACGTGCTCATGTCACACAAGTAACAAACAACAAGGATTTGTGAAGACTGGAACATTTTGTCATGCTTTTTTTTCACCCACCTTTTGTGTATTTTACAGCTGTGTGTTCAGCTTTTATGCAGGGAGGTACTGATGCATTTCCTTAAAGAAGTCCTCTGAGAGGAGTTTAGCATTTACAATTTCTGTATAGTGGTTTGTCAGAGGCTCTTTTGTAGATTTTTAGTTTTGATGTTTATTTAGACAATTTTTATTGACTGGATCTTTATCTTCTCCAGTTGTTTGGATTTCTCTTTGGGTTTTTTTTTTCCAGTTTCTTTTTTTTCCCCTTTTTTTTTTTTCTCAGTCATGAAGTTTGCTAAATTTTGATCCATATGCATTCTTACTTTGAAAGGCTACACAAATACAGAGGCAAATAGACGGGCACTAGAGAGATAGGAGGCTTTAGGGCTAGGTTCTCCTTATATTACCTGTGGGTGCATATCATCTCTATTACTTCCTCTTAAATCCCTTAAAGGAGAGTGAAGTTACAAATTTCCTGCAAACTATACATGTGAAATATAGCATCTCAATAGAGGTTCCCTGTATTGAGCTGTTCAAAATTAGAAACATTATACTGCATCACCCTGCAAAATTTCCATTATAATCCCTCCTACAGCTCTGTGATAATTCTGTGATTTAGAGAAACAAACAAACCCCCAAAACTTTGTTTTGCACTTGAAGAATGTGGTACTGAGAAATCATCCTTTGGGATGATTTTTTGGAATGTAAACCCACTGGGATTTACATTCAGAGAAGACACTTCTTGAAGTCTTTTGTTTAGCTTATGTTTAGTCTTTTGGTCTTATCTGTGGGTTGTGTTTTTTGAGGGGTTGTTTTTTTGGCTTTTACTGACAGCAAATGGATGAATCATGGCTTTTGAAAGCAGAAAACAGACAGTTTGATTACCATTGCTGGGAATGCTGTGTAGTGCAGCTGTGGGTGAGGGAGTAGGTGGTTCCGCTTCTGCTTGTCTTGCAGCTCCAGAACACAATCCCAAACAGATGAATCTGTCAGGCCTGCACCCATGCTGGTACACCCATCTTTAATTTGGCTACATGTTTTGTCATCAGGATGGCTTAAAAGATTTATTTCTGGGAGACATGACATTCCAGGTCATGCCACATCTTGTGCATATGAAAGTGTGTAGGGTTTTTTTTTTTTTTTTTTTTTTTTTTTTTTTTTTTTTTTTTTTTTTTTTTTTTTTTACTTTGTTTCTAGGACTCATTACAATAAAAGAAGCCCAAGATATAGAAGCTAGACTTAATGAAGTGGAAAAGCTTCTGAAGACCATTATAAACATGCCATGGAAGGTGAGTATGCCCAGCTCTACCTTGAGTGCAGATCCTGACTCCTTCTGGGTGGTGAAATGCACTCTTGTGCAGATTAGAGAGTGATGGACTTTATCAGACTCTGAGAGAAGCAGCAATGTATTGAGGATATTGGAGAAGTGCTGGGTGCAAGGTCCATTGCATTACATACAGTTACATATAGGTCCATACAGTTGCTTATACTAAGTATTTCTGTTTTAGTAACGAGAGTTTCAAAGGAGGAAATGAACAGAGAAAACTGTTGGTTTAAAGCAGGTGTCTGTTTCTTTGTCTCTTTTTAAGTATTCAAGATCTGAAGTGGTCCTCACATTCTTTGAGAGATCTCCTTTGGATCAAGTTCTAAAGAATGACAATGTCCATAAAATTCAGCCAAGCTTTCAAAGTCCAGTTAAAATATCAGGTAAGAGTGCTTAGAATTAGGTAACGAGAATTGCTTTATTTTTTTGTTCCTCTCGTTCTTTCTCTTAACAAACTATGCAGCACATGTACAGGCACTAAAATGATGGTTGAAACAAGTGGGCCTGAGGAAAATGCAATCCTCATTACAGTCGCACATGATAGTGYTATTACTGCTCCGGAAAGAGATTCTGAGGATATTGATACGGTTTTATGTAAATGTAAGCTCAGTTCTAAGCAGCTGTCATAAACAACAGTTAGGATATTGGGCATTCTAAGGAAAGGAGATAAGAAAAAAAGATGAAAGGACTTGAATATACTCTGCAATCCTGGTCTCTCCTTCCCAGAAAAGATGTAACAGAATTAAAAAAAAAAAAAAAAGCAAAAGAACAAATGAAGGACAAGGCTTCAAGCTGAAGGACAGTTTCTCTATGAAGAAGATTCAATAGAGAGTTGTTCAACTTTGAGAAGAGATGACAGAGTTGACAGTATGATGGAAATGTATAGAACTGAATGGCAGGAGCCCATTGCCCTTTACACCTCAAAACACAAGAACAGTAGGTTTATGCATTAACACTGTCAGGTAACAGATATTAAACAATAAAAAGAATTACAGTCTGTTTTGTTGTCCTACAAAGCGGTTAAGTAGCGGATCAGAATATTGTGGGAACAAAAGCATAAATGACTTCAAAAGGACTCAGACAAGTAAATGGAAGAAATGTGCCTTGAGACCTGTCGCAGGCTCAGGAAGTCTCTAAGCCACAGATTGCTGGCGGGTGTACTGGAGAGGAGTTTTATACCATACTTGCACTGTTTTAGTCTTTCCCCTCTGAATCCACTACTGACCGTGGTTAGCGAGTGTGTGGACCTTTGATGTGCCTATTTCTGTATTTCTCTATTGAAAAGTTTCCTTTGGGCCTAAAATAAAGTGCAGACTACACTTTAAGAGTCTGCAGTCTCTGCAGTGCCTCGAGGTGGCTGTTTTTATGTCAACCAAATAGAGTTATTTCAGAGAGTGCAATGCAATGTTGTCCTCCAAGGTGCATAAAGTATTTAGGAAGAAATATTGGTTAGTTTTTGTAACCATTAAGGGTGTATTGGTTAATGGCCAGCCAGGATGCTAACATGCTAAAGATACAGCTGGTATGTCTTGCCCCATCTATGACTAGAGAGGCTTGGATGATGTCTGAGTTGTCCCAGTTGATGTAGAAATTGCATTTAGCATTTCTCACGTGCCGGTTCTTAGCATCATTCTTCTGAAGGCAAAGGCTGAACGTGGGTTTCAGGCGTGTCTGCCTGCCTGCCTGTGTTCTCAATACTGATCCTCAATGGCCTATTCAGTGGTGTCCATGTGAAATGTGTTGCTACTCTGATAACAGTGACTTCCAGTTATGAAATGAATGCCCTCAAACTGTATGTTATAAGACATGTTTAAAAGCATGGCTACAGCCACCTGATACATTGCTCCTTTTGCCAGCAGGCAAATATCAAGAAAAATATCTTTGGAGTTGCATTGGCTAGAAACTACAGCATTGGTCTGGTTTGATTTTTTTGTTGTTGTTTTGAAGGGTTTCGCTGAATTCTTGTGGAGTGTGCAGGCACTGTGTGCATGTGCTTGACTGAATATACAGCATGGTTGATATGACAGATAGAAGAAAATCACAGTGAAACTATAAACACAGTGTGAGGGTGTCCAGCTGGTAGGTAGAGGCTGGCAACAAAGAGAACCCTCGAGTCAGCCGGTAYGTAGAGAAGCTGTGAAAACCATCCTAGCTGAATAACAACATCTTGTTTTATCCTAAATTGTTTTTAATAGACAAGTCATGCCTATTAAACTAGGGGAAGATTTTTTTTCTCCTACCTGTACAGACCACCGCATCATTTAAGTGGCTGCAGTTGATAGCAATTGATGTTTGCCTCACCTGGATGCAGCAGCCTGGCAGTGGCTTCGGTGCCTGGCAGCGGTGTCGGTAGATGGCAGTAAATGTTAACTCCTGAAGGCATCTGAACTGCACATCAGTGCTGTTCTTCCTAGCTCATGCCAAGGACACCAGGAGAGCGCTGCCGCATTCCTGTCGGGCACGGAGCAGCTTTCTAGGCGGCCTGCAGAATCAGAATAATTCAATATGCAGAATGGAATTGGAATAAAAACTCTTTTGTACTCTCTAAAACAACAAATTGTCCCCGCCGTGGTCCTGCTCAGAGTGATGGGTGATGGGGAAGGGAGAAAGAGGCCTCTCTCTTAGCTGCAAGCTGAATTTGAATTTATGGTGTAAATCCTGTTTGGGTGAATGATGTTGGCTCAGGATGAATCATGAATGAAGTGTGATTCTCCTGGGATTCAGTGTTTTTACCATTCCCACATATGCTCTGTTAAAGTGGCCTGCAAATAAGATGCAGAGACTGAAAGTCAGAGATCTTTTTCAACAGAAGTATGGAGGGTTTTACCTTTATGTAGGAATATGTGAATGTACAGTTAAAAATTGCCTCCTTTCTTTCTCCTCTGCTCTTCCTCACACATTATTTCAACTGTATTGTTGAAATTGGTCTGCCTGRGGCAAGGTCTTAGGGATTACCCATACTTATCTTTTGTGCCTACTATACTTGCTGTCACAGAATAGTTTCCTTTCGCCTATGCTGATAATGTAGGGACATAATACAGAGTCCTCTTACTTTGAGTTAAATCATGAATCAACTTATTTAAGTCAATGCTGCTTTAAARTGAGAAATATGATAATATGCCGGCTCTAGCATTCATCTGAGGTTATGTGATGAGAAGAAATCTTTGTCATTTGCCTTGTTTGCCCTCTCTTGTCATACAGACTGGGATTAACTTCTTATTCRCAACAAATGCTATTTTTAGGCAAAAAAACTCCCCTTGGTAGTGAGTCAATAGAAATATCTATAATTGCTTAATCGGCTTAGGCCTGGGAAGTCCGTCTAGGAAAAACACAATTAAGAGAAGTGAAAGATTGCGACTCAACAGACCAGCTGCCATTCTGGTAAAAGTGATAGGAATTTTGCCAACGGCATTAATGGGACTGAAATGGGATCTTGCTTCAGTGGGAAGATATGTGCAGTGTTCCACAATGTAATCTCTTCRTCATGAATTGGTGATGAAAATAAAATTGCTTAAAATCTGGCAGGTTGCAGAGGTAACAAGCTATGGAACTGGTGTGTGGCCTGCTCTTCATTTTAGCCATCCTGTACAGATTTGTGTACTTCAGGTGCACATTGCTGTTCATAACCATGTTATTTACATATGATATACACTTCTTGTCCAACTTTTTTTTTTTTAGAGAACTTTTTGGACTGGCAACATTGAAATCTTTTTCCTTTCTTTTCCCTGCAGAAATCATGCGATCGAATGGATTTTGTTTAGCAAACACTGAAACAATAGTCATTGACCACAGTATACCCAATGGCAAAGAAAAACACGTGGACGTGGATTCAGCAGAACACTTGTGAGTACAGTTTCTTTTGTGACTAATTTGATCAGCTTAACATAGGCTGCCGTTTCCTTTTTCCCAAGCAAAATGCTGCTSTCTGTATAGGAGCAAGGCTGGCACGGTGGTCATTCGGGCTTGTTAAAGAGTCTCATTGCTAGTGCCTCAATGCTCCTTCTATTGGAGCATGGATAAAAATCACTACAGTGAGAACTGTGACCCTAAGGAGAGTCGACCTGTCTGTATGGAAAAAGCTGTGGCTGTCCTCAGGGTCCTGCCAAGTGAGAACTACACAGGAGAAATTTCTTTCTTTCTCTCACAATTGTAATGAGCTTTCACTTGAACCCAAGTGTGGAAACCTGAAACATCCTTACAAATGAAAAGTCCTACTAAGATGGAAATAATTTGGGAAGCAAAACACCATCCTCAGAGGTTGAGGAGGGAGCGCAGGCCTGAACTTAATCAAGGAAGCTGGGCAGCTGCTCTGATGCCTCCACATGCTGTGGCATGTTGGAACACATGTATTGCATTAAGAAAGAGGGAAGTTAGGTCAACCTTATTTGTAAATTCCACCTCCTTTTATCCGTAGGTACTCTGAGGTCAGAGACCTGTAACCAATAAAGCTTTTATGTAGGTCTTAAGTCAGGGAGTATGTTRACAAATGGGTATTCATGGAAATCAGCACCTACAGATTTCTGTCTTTGCAGGTGATTGATATTTCCCTTTAATAGTGTCAATGCGGTTCAGCTAACTAAATATTTACACAGTTTTAATGAGAAACATTGACCTACTCTGTCATGAGGGCAGTCAGAATGATGGAAATGGCAATAAAGGCGTCTGGAAGTTTGATCTTTGAACATAAAGCTCTGCCTTGCCACAGCTGAAATATGATCTTTGCCAGTTTGCAGGGAGGTTTAGAATTTAACAGGGTTTTGTCAGAGGCTGGAGTGCAGCTCTGGCCCCACTGTAATGACTTGAAGTCTTTCTATTAACTTTCAGAAGAAAGGGGGTTTTATCACATCTTGTTGTGAACCTGGGTCCTGCGAATGGCAGTTTAACACAAGACTGTAGCCATACACTGGAAAAAATCTCTCCAAGGCCGATTTCTGGGAAGTTGACTTAGTTCATAGTGTATCATTTGTTAGGGCTGAGAGTCATAAGCCATTGGAGCAGATTGCCAAGGAAAAGGATATATTCATTTTCTTTTTCTTTACCCTCTCTGTTTTTCATTATTTCAGAAACAAAACGAACAACAGCCCYGATTTTTAAAAAATCTGCTCTGTTACAAGCAAAACTTTCTGTTTGGGGATCAGAAACTTTTGTCACAGAATTGATGTTCCATTGGCTGTTCTGGATTGGGAGTCAAAGTATATTAAGGCCAGAAAATGTGAATATATGAATCCAGGAAAATCTGTATGGTAGGCACRAGTTTCTAGAATCAGCAGTCAGGGTCCAGCCTGGCTCTCTGTGATCCTACTGGAGACTCAGGGGACAATCAAGTAATTTATTAATTGCAAAAGTCTGTTGCACATGGTGTGCTATATTTGCCCTTCCTGTGGGTGTATTTCATCGCTGGGAAGTAAAGACACTGTTCTACACAGCTGATTTGTAAAGATTTCGTTTTTAAAAAAGCAAAAAAAAAAAAATCTATATTGTTGCTGTAAATGTATGTTAGCAGCCCAGAAAGGAAGTTTTAAATCTTTCACAGTCTTACGCAGTTCCTTCTAGGTCTCTGTAAAACTGGATTTATTGGATTGGTGTTTCCTATTCTGAAAGTAGAGTTAATCCCTTGTGGACTTGTATATCCTCAGTTGGGAATTTTTTCCTTTCAGCAACACTAAATTCCATGACTTGTAGGTTTTGGCCGCACATGTGCTTGAATCAGAYATTTTGCAAAGCAAACGTTTATCTTTTGGAGAGAATCGCTTGGAATGTGAGGAGGTAACATTCATTTCCCTAAAGCCTCGCTGCTGGATTTCCGCAGTGCCGCGTGCTGAGTGGTCTGTGAGCTGAAACATCTGATATTTGTCACAAAAGAAGCTGTAGCATTTGTACAAATTGGAGATGCGTATTCGGCTGTCCCAAAAGAGTTGCTTTCTGTTGCATTCGTTTTGTCTCTCATTTTATTTGGCAGTACTCATTGCATCCTGTTCTAAAGTGCAACTGTATTGCTGCAAGATGTGGTGAAACCAGTGTGCCCAGCCTCAGCCTGGCATAAAAAGGCCTTTGCAAATGGTTCTAGGGCTCTGCAGTCCTTCTGAAAGGAAAGATGGTTAAAAAACGCGCCCTAACTTGTGCTTTGGTTTTGTTACAGGGAGGTGCCTTTCCGCCTCTCAGGACTGTTTGCACTTCTGCTTTCTTGGCCAGCAGCAGGCAGCAAAGGCTGTGGAGTTGGACGTGTTGCTTTTTTTGGCAAACTCGCTCCAGTACTAAATGTGTTTTCAGGGCAGTGCTGCTTTGTCACAAGCATCTTGTGCTCCACGGATGGAGATGCCGAAGAGCAGAACGGAAATGCTGGGGTTAGATACACAATATGTCCAGGGAAACAAGATCGTAGTCTAAACAGGGAAAGAATATACTGCTGTGGGACTTCTTCAAGCTTAGATGTTGATGGAAGGAGTCCTTCTCAAATACTACTCTTATGTAGGCTGATGAGAGGCAATGCAGCCTTGTTTCACACCCTGTTTACACTGGGGCAACTCCTGTGAGTTGTGCTCATGAAGAGCATGAGCATCCAGGTAGCTGTTTTCCTCTTCTTCCTGGCAAACATGAGCAGTAACTCTCAGTATCAGAGTGAAACTGAGGAAGAGCAGGTCTTCTACAGCACAAGAACTAGGTTAAGCACAGTGAATCTCTCCAGGTACTTGGGCAGTAAATAGTCAGCCAGAGCATTGCAGGAGAAAATCCTTGGATTCCTGTTCAAAAGCGCTGTCGTCCTAATAGCTGTAATGAGAACAAAACAGAACTGCAGAAAAAACACAAAGCTGTCTATACATTGCAGAATGCATAGACTATCCTTTCCAGGAACTTGCAGTGCTTCTACCTGATTTTTGAGGTTGTGTAGGCTGGAGAAAGATGGCTTCAGTMGCCTTATTGCAGGAGTCTCACTAGTTCTTGTGAAGGTGAAATGCAATTTTARATGAAATTATTTTAAATCTTCATCTCTCTGCCTGCTATTCAGAGAATTGAAGTATGTCAGCCAAAATGATGTTAGAAAAAACATCCCTAGACGGACATGTCCTATGGTAAGAACCATATTAGAAATTATTTTCCATCTTGTGCCATTTTTCAGTTTCAATTTTATTTTTTCTCAATCTATATGAGAATGAATCCAAGATCTTCAAAATCTTCCWGAGTATGAGAGAAAAAATTGGACAGTTTAAGTCCATTACCTAATTGAGCAAAGATTTAAACACTGGCAGTTCCTTTAACTGTTAGGCTATCTGGGAAGAGGAAAGATGTTTTCTAGATGTTCTCTAGCCTTCCTGAAACTGGATTTTTTTACTCAGTATTACTGAGGAAAGTGTAGATTTCAATGAGTCGATGCCTTCTGATGGTGTGTGGGAGTGAGAGTGGGAAATCCTTGCAAAAAAATCTGATTATAACACAAAAATTAGAAAGTGGGGAGGAAAATACTCAAACAAGTGGAACTAAATTTGGAAATATTTTTTATATTTGGATGGTCTTTGGTTGTCAAAATCTAAATTTCATGCCGTGGGGAGGACAACAAGAATCTGTAGGAAGGATACAGTAGTCATCATTTCCCATTCCGGYTGAACATTTGACCTTGTGTAAAAGCCAAGTGCAGGGAAGGTATCTATAAAGTAAAGGGGTGACAGTTCTGAGTTCAGACTCAAAACAAAAGCAGTTTCCGTTCTGCCTTTGTCTAGGAATGGAGGCATTTTGTGTTGCTGCCAAAGACTGTGAGAATGAAATGGAAGAATGTGGACCTCAGCTGCATGACTCACTTTTCCATWGCTCGCTCCCAGCTTCCTTCCTTCATCACTAGTACCTTTGAAAGAGAGGACCAGATGATATATTGATGTACACCGTGGTTCTCATGGTCCTATGGTTTATTTATATACATGTGTGTGGTGAGGAGCTGGATGGGATCAACATCAAGTACTTTCTGTGAAGTTCTTCATATGCCACAATGAAAGCTACTCTAGGTTTATAAAAATCTTTTAGAGGTATCTGGGTATTGTCTGGCAAAAAGAAGCTGTGACCAAGGAAATTGTTCTTTTATTAGTAGTAGGAGAGAGAGTTTTAGAGAATTAAAATGAATTGATAATGTTTTTGATACAAGGCATCATCATTCTGATAACCAGGTGTCATGAACTACTAAGTTCTGGCATTATAAGGACAAATGCTGTGAGTARTCTCTCTCATACTAGGGAAGTGCCACCAAAGTTCCTTTTACTGAAGACTGCCAATAAAAGAGATCAAGAACTTGGTCTCCAAGTCTGCCATACAGCAGATGAACCTTAAAATGAAACATGAACCTTAACATGAAAAAAAAAAAAAGAACTTAATGCCTTTTCTGCTTGTTTGTTTTCTCTTTAGGTTTGAAAGCGTTAGTGACTTTACCTCAGAGCTGGAAGACAGTGATGATCCAACAGCTTATGTCACCAACTTGACATACTACCACCTGGTCCCTTTTGAAACTGATATCCTGGACTGAGGTTTCCCAGTGACCTCCTCCTCTAGCATCCAGCTGACCTCTTTGTCCATAGGCTCTGCTGTCTCCAACACTGCATCTCTGTGAACAAGGCTATACAGGCTGACCAAGAACAGAGAAATTGCAGCAAGGACGCCACAAAGGTGGCTTTGTGGTCCAGTGCTTCACTGTGTTTTAAGGAGACATCATGTAAAGGAGTAGCTGCTTCACTGCCAACAACAAACTCCCTTGAAAGCAAGACAGCAGTGGCCTCTGGGCTCAAGGAAGTCTCTACAATGTCCATGGCAACTGCTGCTCTGACACAGCCTTCAAACCACGTGCTGTGGTTTGCTGTCACTCCTGCTCCTTGACCTTGCAGTGCAAGCTGAAGCTTCCTCTTTTAGGACGCCACCAGAAGCTTCTCAGGATGTAGCAACCACACTTTTTATGCTGTGTAAGTGAGAAGATGGAACAAAACAGCTGGATTTCGTCAGTTCCCTCTGCAATTTCTTAGCACAGGCCTGTCAGGTCACTTTTTCCCTAGCTACCAGATGACTGGTGCCTTACACGAGATGTCAGAAACACCATTGAGTGCCTCCAGGAAAGAGAACACATGAACTGACTGCTTTACTTCTTTTAGTCACGGGCTCTTGTATAATCACTGGAGAGATGACTGCTTTTTCCTGAAATAGTAAAGCAGAAAGTGGCTGGCATTGCAATGGACTGTTTGTAACGTTTGGTACCCAAATGATTTCGGAGTTCTGGAAAGCTGATGGGAAAGCTGAACTGCCCTGCTATGAATGGTGCAAGCTGTGATACCTGGATATGAATTGTGTCACATGGATCAGAAAATGGGAATGGTCCTTACAGTTGTTTACATCAGAGGGAATTCCCTATGTGTGTTTCTCCCCAGAGAATGGGGAGGTAGCCGATGAGATTTATGGTGTGTTTGGACTGAGAAGTGATGATAAGCTACAGTGTATCTACAGTGGTAGGAAAAACACTCTCTCCCTTGCCGACCTGGTTCAAAGAGTGTGTCTAGCTTTCTGAGAAATGCCTGTCAGGCTGGATGCAGGCCCCATGGTCATGTAATTCCATTGATTTCAGTGGAGTTAGGCCAACGGAAACAAGAGCAGGATTGGACCCTGCAGTCTCTTTACTACTGAGTAGTGCAACGTTAACATCTCTTCTGGGGGTCTCTCTTGCTGAGTGCTCTAAACTCCCAGCTCTAATTGCAAGTGCTCAACACCATGATCTTTCATTGAGCTTTTTGTGATATAATTGCAAAAAAAATGAATTGGAAGGGATTGAAAGAAGAAGGGACTTTGGACTTATTTCTTTGTACCAGGTCTTTGCTYGGACTTGAAGAAGTTGGTACAGCTCCCTTCTTTCTGCAGAATTTTAATTCCTATCTGTAGGATAACAAACAGAATTTGCTAATGTAAATAATAAATTATTGAGAATCCTAATTCTTTTACACAGTAYGTTTTWAAAATATATTTTAATGAAATAAAATATTACTCACCTTCAATATATTCTTTGCACCTTGAAACAGTGACTTCCATTTATTTGTCTTTGAGGACTCTTCCCCAACCATAGCAAACCCTCTTTTTTACTTCAGTAGTTTTGGAAACATATTTGAGTTTTGGTGATTCTTTCCAGTCTCCACATGCTGCCCATACTGGAGATGGGGTGTATACTCATGAGAAACCTTTTTGCCTGGCTGCTGATCTTGTGTGTAGGCCTGTATGGTTTAATACCACTAGGTTTCATGGAAGAATCCTGTCTTTTCACAACTGCAAGTGAAATGAAACCTGGCACTGAGGTGTTTGGAGAGTAAAGCATATTATTACATATGAAACTTGTAGAATAGAAAAGGAAACATGCTTGTTACTCATGCAGAGGCTTTCTGGGCAGCCCCTTGAATTGCCACCACCATTTTGGAGTTGTTTGGTTGCTGATCTTTTTAATCGTATCGGTTTTAACTTGTAACAGCGCTCTTGTTGAACCGTGCTRGGATAGAAACAGTATCTAGTAAACAAATGTGTTGGATTGGGAATTGAAATGTTTGCTCTCAGTTCCTGGCCCTGTCAGCTTACCATGCTGCTTTGGGGTAATTGTAGTTCATCTTCCTGTGCCTGATTTTTCCCTTGAGTAATGTTTACGACAGCACTTGAGTCTCTTTGGCTTTTGATGCAGTATTGGCCCCTAGTTCATTTGAACGTTTCTGTGAATTTTTAACCCTGATAGCTACCTACCTTTTTTTTAAAGTCCTTTAAAATCCATAGTTTAAAAGTAAATAGAGAAGTGTTGCTGATTTTTAAAATGCACAGCCACCTTTCTCCTGTGTGCACGACTGAGCTGCGTGCGCAGTGAAGCCTTCAGGGAAGGAGGAGCCTCATGCAACAGAACTGTCCTAACGGCAGGTGCTGCTCCAGTTTCACCTGGGTTTTTCAGAAGCCTTTTGGTCAGATATGTGCCAGTGATGGTGTCACGTGGTTTATCACACAAACAGATTTCAGCCCTGAGCTTATGTGTTAGCCATGAGGTGGCTAACATGACGTGTTGTCATACTCTGAATTTCTTTTCAGGACTGGATGGGCACATGCTGCACCCACAGTGGTGGAGGGCACAAGATCCCTGCAGAGCAGGTACCCAACATCTCCRGTGTTGTCCCAGGCACTCATGCCAGGCTGGCCACTGTCAAGCTCCCCCAAACATTCCTATCTTCTTGCAATTGTTTCTCCATTGGAAAGGGTAAAAGAAGTCTTGAGAAGCATATTCATCCAGAATTGTCTTTGCTTTGGGGGATTTACCTTAATTTTTCTCTGTGGTTGATAGTAACTGCATTGCTGGGGCTTGTTTGCAGAGCCTGTCTGTATGACTGAGCTTAGTCCCACGGGTTGTGTCAGTGGAAATTGTAGCTGTCTGACTGCACTAAGCTCACAGGTTGCTCTTCTTCAGTTAGGAAAAAGAGTAGTCCCTAGGGTAGAGGAAATTCTGAGGCGTAGACGACCCTTTCTCTCATTTTTGCTAATTACCACTAACCATTCCTGCCATAAAAAAAATAAGATTTTGTCCTACTGTAGCAACGATCATGGGCTKTTAATGTACATTTATCTTTATGGAAACATTGCCAATTTATGGCTGAAAAAAAAAAGAACACCTTGTTCTACTGACAGCATAAACACATGGGCAAAAGCAGTCAGTGAAGTGCAATTCCCTTCATTGTGCTGTAGTGTTCACAGTAAGTGGAGTGAGACTTCCCAGCAAACATGCTCCACTCCACTCACCAGAACTGTAGTTCCAGTTGCAGCTGCTTTGTGAGTGGGTTTCTCCCCTGTCATGGTAGCCTGAAAGTAGGAAAAGGAATGCAGAATCTAAATTCATTCCAGGTTCGGTGCCTGAAGGAAGACCTCATGTTGAGATCTATCTCAAAAGGCTAAAAGCGGCTGCTGGAAAAAAAAAAATGTGTAAATCACTCTGTAGAAACATTGCTTGAAGCCTTTGCTTGGGTCCTTAATGCAGGCTAAGGGCAGCTATTTTCCCACCTGATTATTTGAATATGTTGCTTTTTTTCCTTTCTTTTCTGTATTTTTTCCCCAAGTTTCTTAACCTGAATGACAGGAGCAGCAAGGATTTGGGGGCTTCCGGCGGGGCAGGACCAGGCCTTGGCAGGACCCTGTGACAGAGCTGGGCACCCAGGGCACCCTTGATGCCTCCCAAACTCAGCAAACTCAGTCCAAGAGCAGCAGCTGTGGTAGCTGTGYAGATGGAGAGGTATGGGTGCCTACTGGTAGGACTGGTTATCAATAGATGTCGTTCCCTAGTAATGCATTTGGTAATTGATACCCCTCAAGGCCTCTTGATACCATGAATGGTCAATGTTTGGTGGACATCAGTGCATACCAAGAACAGAATGAGTGCAAGAATGCAGGCTATAGATGCTGGCTGAAATAGAGTTATCAATGGTCCAAACAGTTAAGCTGTAGATGGCTGTGGAGAAGAATYATTCTCTTGATCAGTTGATCAATAGGATCAATGTAGATGCCTATTGATAAGGATAGATAAGGACTGGCCTTCCGAAGTGATGGTTATCAAGAGGTAATCACAGAGTAGTGATAATAGTTACAGGCAGTGATGTTGATAGCTGTYGATGCAGACTGGGAGTACAGTCAGTCCAAGAGCAAGAGCTGAATAATGGTTTTGATTTGTTTCCATAGGGCTAGATGTCTATACATGTTGTTCCCTAGAGATATGGCTGGTGGTTCTCAGCATGGCCTCTTGATTTTGTGGCCTATCAACACTGGCACATCCCAGGAGCAGAATCAGCACCAGAACGAAGGCTGCAGTGGAGATGGAGAGTTACCGACGGTCCAACATGAAAAGCTGCAGATGGCTGGGGAGATGGAGAGGTATCAGTGCCGATTGACAGGGCCAGGGGCTGATGGCTGGCAGGTCTGGAGTCCACCCCTGCTGCAGAGCTGTGGGACAGGGAGTAACGACCCTGGTCCCACTGAAACTGGGCTTGGGCTGGGCAGGGTGGGGGTGTCTCTCAGGCTGTGGCCCCGAAGGCTCATTTTCTGCTGCCCAAAGTATACCTTTTTTTTTTTTTTTTTTTTTCCATTTCAGCAAATTAAGCAGTACCCTGGTATTCTGGGCACATGAAATATGCTGCAGAATTGAATTATTGCTGCACTATTGTGTTCCAGAAACCAATCTTTCATCATGTGAAAAAAATGTAGCTGAACCAAATTCAAGTTCATAGATTTGTAAACAAGAGCTCCCCTCTGTGAACCCTGTGTAGCTGATAAAATTCTCTGCTTAGATCTGCAGAACCCTGCAAAAATATCTCCTGAGGTCCATAGTGCTGCCATTCATCTCAGTGGTGTATTTCCTCAGAAACTTGACAATGAAAATGTAATTTTCTGCAATATTCATTAGTTAGCTCTTGATTATTCTAGCRAAAAGGAGTGGCGTAATAATTCTATCCCCAAACCTCTCCCTTAAATGCAAAGCCATTTCCTATGTTTGCTGGGTTGTTAAAAAGCCAGTCTTTCTTCTCTCTGTAACTTCTGCTTTTTCCTTTGGCATGCTGTGCAGGAATAGTCTGTCCCAGTTCTTGCTATTAGTTGCATGAGCAGAATAAAATTGAAGTACTCTAGTGTCTCCTGAAGGAACGGGAGGTGTCTCCTGGGAGGAATAGCAATGGAAAAATTCTTTTTTAATTTTAATATTTTCAAACCTCAAGAAAATTTTGTCAGATCTTCAGCATGCAGGGGAAGAGAAAGATACCAGATTTCACTTCTTGACCGCTAATTTTTTTGTTATAATTTGTTGTTACAGGGAATGTTTAAAAAGCTTAGCCTTGGATTCCAAAGCTGTTCTTTTTAGCATCTGTAGTTGGATAAGTCAGCATCAAACTTTCTACAAACTAACTATATGAATGCTTTCTAATTCATTCCTATAATAATGCTCATTCCTGTGTTGGTCAGCTCTCTCTGAACTTTCTTCCCTGTACATACAAAAATTAATCAGGCAGTTTTTATTGGACAGCTCTCATCAGTGTAAATGGAAATATTTACACCCTGAAGTGCCGTTTCCAAGTTTTATAGCACACAGTATTCTCATCTCCAGTGTTGTCCAAGAATTGCTTCCATACAGTATTCTCATTTCCAGTGCTGTCACAGAATAGCTTCTTCCTCTAAACCATTCTCATTATAATTAACCCTGTTAGTAAAACATGCAGTAGGGGATTTAGGAAAGGGAATAATATCAAGGTAGTATTAGACTTAATGTATTTATATTTAACATCTCAGGAATTTGTATTCACCTAAAAGRTGATAGCAACTGCAAAGGTGTGGAAATGGCTTGGAAGCATTTACATTGTAGTGGTGTGAATTCGCCTGTCCTTGGGGGGCCCCTGGAGCCCCTGTCTGTGCTTCTGCAAGGTGTATGGTGCCACGGTGCYCTGATGGGACAGGGAAGAGCTAGAAGTCCCCTGTCGCAGAGGGGAAGGTGGGTCACCGAGGGAGGGCTGCGCAAGTTCTGCAGCCCTTGGGTTTTGTCCTGTTGCCAGCAGGCAGATGCCTTGTGCCACAGCGGGTGGCACAGAGGATGGGGTGCTTGTCCTTCAATTGAAAGGTTGTTGTCCTTCAATCCTTTCAAATCCTGCATAGTAGTTAAATTCCTTTTCTATTTGCTGGTATGATCTTCATCACCAAACTGGAACTGGTTGGTTCCACACTGGCTTTCACCTTCCCGAGGGCCTGTTTTTACCAGAAAAGCCTGGATTGCCCACATGCACACTCCCCATTCCCCCAGGCTTTGGAAATGCCTTCACCAGCTGTCTTCCAGTACCTAAACAACTTTAAGCAAAATGCAAGGACTCACTGCTAGGA